CAGTGGTTTGCAACTTTGGGAGGAGCATCAGAGGCACGATTTACTTTCAATTCTCCTGAGGTTTCGAATCGATCGTACAAATCCCTGATCCATTGAATAAGTAACAATGTTAAAATTTTAATTACTTCTATTCCTTCCGATTATTTGATACCAGAACTACATCCACTTCCATGGCGGAACCAAAGAAGATAATCATACTAATGGCCTACAAACTCCTCAAATCACTCATCATCCAACTATCTTCATACCGCTACCTGTGATACAAAGAAACTGAGTGGTTCAGACTTAGGAGACCGGTGAGCACACATGGTTTTCAACCCACAATAATTAGTTTCTTTAATTATATAATTCATATCAAATAATTCACCCGATTACCCATTCTGTTATTCTCACTTACTAATCCTAAAATATTGATCTCATGGGACCTATCTTAAGGATCATCATCAGAAAACAGGTAGACAATACTGCTTTGGGGATCTCGATAACAATATGTGTCAATAAGACAACCATTAGGGGGATAGAGTACATCAAATGATCAGATAGTTTATTAACACCTACAGGTTGCGAGCCTGCTAGCGTTTCCACTAGACTGTCTAGAATAGTTCATGATCGTCATCTATACTCTTCTAGATGATTGGTTCATCAATAGTCAAGTCCCTTCATCATCATCTCATCATTTTCATCACCATCAATAGCCACGCGTAACATACTAACATTTAATCATCTAGATACGTTATATCTATGTGTAAGTTGAAAGTAACTATGCACTCACATGTTAAAGTGGATGACTAGAAAGTTGGACAGTGCTTCGCTTCAACACTTAGCCTTTCCTTTGACGTGACCAATGTTCAATTATCACTAAGTCTTAGTTTAATATTCCTTATGACTAATTAATAGTCTAGATTCCTCAACAATCCCAATGTATACTGAGAGTTCTATCAAATAAGGATCAACCAGGCAGGAAAGTTGAGAGGCAGGACTATTTCGGCACATAGCCTTTCTAAAATCTAACAACCAAGCCAACATGACCATTCTAGGAACCTCTCCCGTAAGTAGACCAATCAGTATGCCGACATGGAATTACTAATAAATCGTATTTGTAGATTCATAACAATGATTATGACTATAAATATAAATTACACTAAAATAAGGATGCGTGTAATTTAACTTACAGATATTTCTTAGATAAAAGTCCAAAAATTGTACTCACAGAGCCTCTACTTGATAACTACTACTTGCCGAGCACCCAAGAGTAGCAGGGCTTCGCTGGAGGACCAAACACTAAGGGGAAATAGGCTAAAATTGAGAGATACTCGAGAGAGAAGTTTATGTGTGGAGTGGGGATCGGATGAGCAAGAGAAAGATATTTATAGGCAATATACACACCGCACATCTGAAGTGCACGCCGCACATCTCGAACACGCTGCTCATCTTGCTTGCTGACATGTGTCCTGATTCGGGTGGTGATGCGTGGCAGTTTCTAGAAGCGCGCGTCGCGCCTCTATTGCGCAAGGTGCACTCGGGAAACTTCAAAAATTCGTAAGTTCTTCATACGAACTCCGTTTTTGATCTTATTTATATCCACATGTATAAATCAACGAGATCTACAACTTTCATTTAGACTCCGTTGGCTAATTTTAATTTTATTTTTACAGTTATATTTTTATCAGGCTTAGACTGTTAAAGTCTGTTAAAAATTCATAGCTCTTTCGTCTGACGTCTGTTTTCGACTGTCTTTATATTGTTGAGCTCTTATTAACGAGATCTTCAACTCTTGTTTACATTGTTTTGACTTACAATCAACCGATCTAAAATTCGCTTTCTGTGTCCGCATTGCTGCGCTGAATCTTAGAAAAATCATAACTTCATCTAACGAAGTCAGATTTAGACGTTCTTTATATGTACACTCTCAGTATTACGATTACTACAACTTTTGTTAAGATTACTTAGGCTCATAAGAAACCTATCAAAAATTCACTTTTTACGACGCGTTGCCGTATCGGGTTGAATGCGAAACTTCAAACAATCATAACTTCTTCGTTATAAGTCGAATTGGAGCGTTCCTTATATCTCCAAAATCCTCATCACGACTACTTCATCTTTCATCAGGGATATTCGGCCTAATTTTTTTTTAGATGCATATTTTATTCATATTTTATTATATCGTTATAAGCACGTATATTACATATAATTACACATAAATCACAATATACTCAAATAATTCTCTTTATTTATTTCATAAAAGGTTACAATTGTTGACCATTACAATCACATCATTTTATTAATGCTTAGTAAGAAACGTGGACGTTACAACCATGTGCTAAACTGACTTTTCTTTCGTGCACACAATGTTGGACATGTGGAGTCAAGTGCATTTAATAAACCGCGCCGCAACACATAGATGCGTGATGTGGTTTCCACGTCACAATATTGTCATGTCATTTATTTGGTAACATGCTAGATTGATGATAACATGTCATTTAATTGATATTACAACAAAATTATAAATATGGTGACATAATTAAGAAACAAAAACAGTGTTAAAATCGCAATTTTGGTAAACATAGTGATTTATTGCATTTCGGAAAAAAATAGTTAACGAGATAACAAGGATAACCGGTCATTCAGTTAATATTGCAATAAAATTGTAAATATAGTGACATAATTACGAAAAAAACTCGGTGTCAAATTCGAAATATTGTGGTAGTATAGTTACTTTTTTTTTGCAATTTGTCCTTATAATAATAATAATAATAATAATAATAATAATAATAATTATTATTATTATTATTATTATTATTTTAAAATAATTGATTTGATTTGATGTTGTTTTTTACTTTAATTTTTTTTTCATTCGAACTATCATTGTGTTAAAAATTTTTTACGAACAATTATATGTATATTTGTGTGAGTTTTATTTAGCCACTACAAAAGTCGGAACAAAATAATAACAGTAGATAGTCTGAACGAAAAAAATGACACGTGGATAGTTCGAATGAAAAAAATAACACAAGAATAGTCTAAATTAAAAAATATCTGAACAAAAAAAATAATACATGAATAGTTTGAACGGAAAAAGTAACACAGTGATAGTTAGTTTGAATGAAAAAAATAACACAAAAATAATCCGAACAAACAAAAAAAATATATTTTTCATGTTAATAATAATAAAAATATGTATTTATTAAAAATATTAAAAACATAAAATAACAAAAAAGAAAAAAAAATTAAAAACAAAAAAATTAAAAACAACAAAAAGTTAAAAAAAATAACAAAAATAAAAAAAAGATAGACAAAGAAATTAAGGGGTATATAAAGAAACCCTATCAATCTATCATAAAAAAAATCACCACTTGAGTTAATGACGTAGAAAGGTAACGAACTTTTATCTTTGTCCACATTTATGTAATTATGTTTTTTTCGTTCACATTTGACCATTGAATTTGTTTGACCTGTTTAAAATAGGGTAATATGACTGGTAATTACGATTATATTACCCTATTATGAACATTTCAAACAAGTTTATTGGTCAAATGTGTATGAAAAAACATGTTAGCTAAATATGGACAAAAATCAAAGGTTCTTACACGTTTTGGTAATATTGGACAAGGACCGTCTCATGGATTGTGCCCTAGGATTAGGTTCTGACACTCAATGAACAATTAGGTTAGGCTTGGTCTAACCCAGTTCAGTCCCGGCTAGTCATGGGCTAGATTGTGTTGCTAGGTCTTTAATGCATATACAACCTAGCCCCTTAAGCGTATACAATCTAACCCCTAACTAGCTGGGCCTAAACTGAGTTGGCCCATGACTTGACCATCTCCTCATACATAAATATCGGACAACCCAATTTCATGTCAATTAATGGATCTTATGACTAGTTGCATTTAACATAAAAACCCCAATATTACCAAAATAGGTAAGAAACTTTGGTTTTTGTTCATATTTAGGTAACCATGTTTTTTTCATACACATTTGACCAATAAACTTGTTTGACCTGTTCATAATAGGGTAATGTTACCACTAATTACCAATCATATTACCTTATTTTGAACAGATCAAACAAGTTTAATGGTTAAATGTATACGAAAAAAACATGGTTATCTTAATGTAAACAAAGAGCAAAATTCATTACCTCTCTCCAGTTTATCAACCCTTTCAACTTATCAAAAAAAATAAAATAAACATTTATCTTGCAATCATTTTTTTTCATTGAATCTGCTTTTTCGGTACTTTATCATATGGGTTTTTTACTTATTGGTAAAAAGAACTATACTTTTCATTTGGACCACATCGTTTGCAATAAGAATGTCGTTATTTTTGCAGAAGCTTTATTTTTTGTTTTTTTATAATTGACGAGACATCCAACACGTGAACTAAAGACAAAGTTTCAAAAATAATCCTTATGGTTTTAAAAAAGTAGCAATTTAAAGATAAATGTTTCCAAATTCGACACGGATGGTCCTTGGGTTTAATGCTGTTAGGTCATCTTCGTTAGAAAGGGGGCATTTTCGTCCTTTCACTTGTTTCCAAAGCTCAGGCACCGTTTTTGAAATTTTGTCTTAATCCGAGTATCTGAATCGAACCTCAGATTCTTCAATTTTATCAGGTACTGTTTCAGATTCTTCTGCATCTACTCGATGTCTATGCAATCTTTTATGGTGTTTCGATGTGTCGGTGTGGCCCAATTACTCTCAAAAGTGTTGATTAGTTTCTTGCCAAAAGTTAAACATGTTTGGTGCTTAACTGTTTATACATTTGTCTCTTAATTTTTTCTGCATCTATTCGTTGTCGATTTGAATTCACTTCATAAAAGTTGGTTTGTGGGTCTAAGCTTAACTGTGTCGGGGCTTGGATTTTAGTATAAATTGTGAAGGAAAGGAATAAGATTTTAGCACTTTTGAGTTGTTTCACGAGCACACCCATCAACTATTGTCTACTTCTTTAGGGCTTATTTCAATCTCCATTTAGGGTTATTGTTGTTTTGTTAATTGTCTCTAATGGATCCACCTATGGCACGGGAGAATGACGGTGGTGAACTTAGTTCGTCGGCTTCACAGGAAAACCAAAACGCTCAAGATCCGTCGGTAGAGGTGGAGAACAGAGAAGACGATTCATCTGCAAAGAAATCTAAGGACGCAAACGGAGAAGAAAGTAACATTGACATTGAAACAGTTGAGAAAACCAAGAGCTCAAATGGTACTAGTTCGAGTTCTAGTGATAATTTAGATGACGGATTCAAATGAGAAGAAAGAAGTTGTTCTTGAACCTGAAGCTGAACAGACAACTGATAAAGTTGAAGAGGTGGAGATTTCCCCCATTGTTGATCCAGTTGATGAAACCAAGAACGAAGAGACACAAGAATCAGTTCCAGCAATTGAACCAATGCCTGAAACAGTACCTGCTACATTGAATAATCTGAGGTTTCCCCCATTGTTGAACCAGTTAAGAATCTGAGTATCAGAATCGAACCATCTTAGAAAAGACAGATGAGCACATGGAACCTGACTGCTCAGCTCATCAACAACGTTGGTGAAACCTGACGGAGGCCGCCACAAGTGAAGAAGAAGATGAAGGTTGGGGGAAGGAGATATCGCCGGAGGTGAGGCCATTGTGGTTTGGGAAGACGATGAAGGCTTGGGGTTAAAAGCAGTAAGGACGAAAATGCCCCCTCTCTAACGGAGATAACCTAACGGCATTAAGCCCAGGGACCATCTGTGTCGGATTTGGAAACGTTAAGGACCACTGATGTTACTGAAAGATATCCTGGCATTGTAAACTATAGGGACCATTTTTTAAATTTTGTCCAAATTAAAATAACATACGACAGACAGAAACACCATTATTGCCTTTTCTTTTCTTTCCGTTCCGTATCACTGATTCCAATCCACGGAACTTCACCATGATTTCAAAGGTAATCTGTGTTTTGCTTGAAGTTCAATATTACTTTTTTTATGTTAATTTTACGGATTGATCAAATCATCAAACCCCACACTATCAATCCTTTCTGTGAATTTTCTTTTTTTAAAAACTGAATTCGTTTCCCTACAATACCATTCGTTTTCTGTCAACTTGTAGTTCAATGCAAGCTATGCTTCTTAATCCCTAAGTATAGAGCTAATTATACGTTGACATCGTTTTGTTGTTGAGATTTGTGTATCCAAATGATAATATCACTTGATCGTTAATTTATGCTGCAGATGTATACATCTTAGGTCAGCGGATTGGTGGAAGTTTGAACAATCAGTGGTTTGCAACTTTGGGAGGAGCAACAGAGGCACGGTTGACTTTCGATTCTCCTGAGGTTTCGAATCGATCATACAAATCCCTGATCCATTGAATAATAAGGAACAGTGTTAAAATTTTAATTACTTCTATTCCTTCCGATTACTTGATACCAGAACTACATCCACTTCCATGCCGGAACCAAAGAAGATAATCATAGACACCGATCCTGGCATTGGTAAGTGCTTCTTTCTGGAGTCTATGGATTACTCTCATCATCATCATCATCATCATCATCATCATCATCATCATCTTGTTAAATTTAAGCTTTTCCCCTTTTCTATTCGAATTTTGAGTTTATGCACTTTATCCTAGAAACTAAGTACACCATCCAATTACAAATAAACTGTGGCTAATAATAGATGATCTTTTAATCCATGTTGTGTGCAATTGTTGAATCAGATGATGCCATGGCAATATTTCTGGCATTAAGGTCACCAGAAATCACAGTGGTTGGGCTTACGACTATTTATGGCAACGTTTACACCACACTTGCCACTAGAAATGCATTGCATTTGGTAAGCCATTTCATGATCTCTTTTACATAAAAAAAGTACTAGCTGTGAATTCTTCTGTGATTAACATTCTTTGTCTTCATACTAACTAAACTGAAGATATTGATGTTTTGTTATTTATATATATAGTTGGAGGTTGCTGGGAGAACAGATATCCCTGTTGCAGAAGGATCTCATGTCAGTTATATGGTACATCTCCTTCCATTTCTATTAGCTTCATATCTTTTCAAAAATCTTATATTTCTTCTGTTTCTTTTTTCTCCATGTGTTAAGAAAGCCACAAAGCTTCGAGTTGCAGACTTTGTCCATGGAGTAGATGGACTTGGAAACCAGAACTTTCCTCAGCCAAAGTCAAAGCCAATAGAAAAGTCAGCTGCAGAATATTTGGTGGAGCAGGCTAATCTTTACCCTGGAGAAATCACTGTGGTGGCATTGGGCCCCCTTACCAATATTGCATTGGTCTCATTTCCATCTTTTTTAATTAAGGAATTAATCGTTTCTTGAAACACCTTTTAAAGAATCTTTTTAATTGTTGCAGGCGATTCAACTGGACCCCACATTCACCAAAAAAATTGGACAAATTGTTCTTCTTGGTGGTGCTTTTGCAGTAAATGGGAATGTGAATCCAGCTTCTGAGGCTAATGTAAGCAACTTTATGATTGTAATTATATCCCAAACAATTTGTTATTATTTATTTACATTTTATTAATTTCTCCCATAGATTTTTGGTGATCCAGAAGCTGCTGATATTGTGTTTACTAGTGGAGCTGATGTTGTGGCTGTTGGAATCAATGTTACTCATCAAGTTATTATGAAAGGTAATCCTTTTTTTTATATATTTTTCTGAAAAGTCAACTTATTATATGATTATGAATTTATGATAATTTTACTAGTATTAACAGTTGCTAATAATATGTTTGTAGATAGTGAGCTTGACAACATGGCAGAATCAGAAGGAAAATTTGCCAAGTATTTATCCAAGATCCTGGATTATTACTTCTCTTATCATCGTGATGCATACAGCATGAAAGGTGAAAGATTGATTTTTTTTTTTTAAAACATAATGTTGATTTCTATAACTTTTGATGTGGCCTTTTATATTAAATAAAAGCATATATCTGTGTGTAGGTGTTTACCTTCATGATCCTACAGCACTTCTTGCAGCTGTTAATCCTTCACTGATGACATACACAGAAGGTGTTGTCAGAGTCCAAACAACTGGCATCACAAGGGGTCTAACCTTGTTTTTCAACAAACAGAAAAGGTGAAAATGTTTGTTTAATCTTTTACTTTTTTTGAGTAAATCACAGTTTTTGTTCCTATATGCTATGTTGATTTTTTTGGATATGGTTTAAAAAAGAATCTTTTTCACTTTCTAGTCTTTATTTATATGACTGTTTTATAACACTTTTAGTCCTTGGTCATGTAAGCTAACCACCTAAGCCCATGGAAATGACCATTTTGCCCCTGTATAAGTGTAAACAAATATTAGAAAGTATGTTGCTATTTCTTGCATTTAACCCAAAGGCATTGATTTACAATTTGAAAAAACTTGTGTGCATGTTTTTGACTTATATGAATCTGTTATTTTTTTACTATACAAGGTTTAATGAAGCGACTGAATGGAACAACAAACCGACAGTGAAAGTGGCAGTGACAGTTGATGCTCCTGCAGTTGTGAAATTAGTAATGGATCGCCTCATGAATTCATAACCTCCATTCATTTTTTTTAAAGTTGTTGACATATTGTCTAATAAAAACATTTCTATTTCAATTCATATGAATTATTTGTCCCTAACCGTTTTTCATTTCAGTATTATTGTTATATGTTTATGTAAGTTATGAATTGTTTTTTATCTTTGAAATTGAAAAAGTAAATGCAAACGATGCATCCATTTTAAATATTTTTTGAAACAAGGAGCAAACTTTTACATTATGGACAAAACGGTCAATTCGCAAGTGGAGGAGGCAAAGTTATAACAGCCAATCGATCAAAGAGGGAGTAAAGAATTGAAGAGATGAACGATCCACCATCTTTTCAAAATCTGTTTTATGAAGTAATAAGTTAATATATAATAGTTTTTTCAAAAAAATCATAGTGTCCCATTGGTCTAGCTCCATTATCTATATTTCCATTATCTGTATTGCCAAATAACCGATTTTATGTTGTAAAAGGTAAACAATTCATGTTTTCTGCATGGTTATACTTTTACCTGCTATATGAGGTTTAATAGGTCACCACTTTTTAAAATTTTACACTTTTGGTATAGATTTTAAAATTTATTACACATTTTGTCCAAATTTAAAACTTTGTTATGAATTTGCCCCGAATATAGTGTTTCTTTACAAATTTATTTTTCTAGAACTTTTTTAAGACTTTTTATAATGGTTTATAATTTCATTAAAGTCTTAGAAAAGTTGCAGAAAAATAAATTTGTAAAAAAACACTAAATTTGGAATGAATCCATAACAAAATTTCAAGTTCGGACCAAATTTATAATAAAATTTAAAATTTGAGTTGAAAATGTAAAATTTTAAAGAGAGGTGTCATATTCAAACCTGCATAGCATGAGAACCTTACACGAAAACATGAATTGATAAAATCGGTTAGTTAGCAACTCTAAAACATTTTAAAAGGTTAGTTTCAAAAAATAAGGATAACCCTTATAATATTACAAGATAACTAATGTTTGATGATTAATTTAATCCAATTAAATTACTATATAAGATATGAGAACCACATTCGGAATCCATCACCCGTTATGCCATGTCATCATGTAGCCAAGTCGATATATACGATATACCTAACCATTTTAACTCTATTTTCTTTACAAATATATGTTGCTTCTCCTTTATAACACATTTTAACACACAAGAAATACAAATCTCATTCTCCACATACTTTTCTCTAAAACTTTTAGTTTAACATTTGTATAATCACACAAGTAGTCACATGAGACGTTCCGTTACCGATTTGACAACTGCGGGAGCATCGACTGTCACTGCCACTTTCACTGTCGGTTTGTTGCTCCATTCAGTCACATCATTAAACCTTGCTTAGTAAAAACAACAAATTACATATTGCAAATGTGTTAAGTTAGACGGATGAGGGACAAAAAGCGCAATAAAACCATGACTTTGGGGCAAAACGGTCATTTTTACCTTTTACGCTTGTTGAAAAACAATGTTAGACCCCTTGTGATGCCAGTTGTCTGGACTCTAACAACACCTTCTGTGTATGTCATCAGTGAAGAATTAACAGTTGCGAGAAGCGCTGTTGGATCGTGAAGGTAAATACCTATACGAGGGTAAAATGGTCATTCTCATGGATCAATAGTTCAATACCGTCACCAACGAACATATTGTGTTTTTTCTATATAATATAAAAGGAGTCATTAAAACTTACAGAAAAAAACATCATGTTTTAAAAAATACATACCTTTAATGTTGTATGCATCATGATGATAAGAAAAGTAATGATCCAGGATTTAATTTGCACAAATACTTGGCAAATATTCCATCCGACTTTGCCAAGTTGTTAAGATCATTGTCTACAAACATATTATAAGTAAGCGTAAATACTAGCATGAATATGATGTGTAACAAATTGGCCAAAAATAACTAAAGTTGAGCTACATAAAATGAAAAAAAAAAATTACTTTTCATGATAACTTGACGAGTAACATTCATGCCAATTGCCAAAACATCAGCTCCACTAGTAAATACGATATCAGCAGCTTCTGGGTCACCAAAAATCTGCTTTTCCAAATTAAATGTAAATAATCAACAAAAAAATGTTGTATGACATTTTCAGACACACACAAGCAAATAGTGTTTCTATGTTTCTTGTTGGAGTTTATGAAGAGTGGATGCGATCAAATCGTATATGATTGTTAAAAACTCCATGGGTAGATCGATATTAACTGAGACAATGTGAAAAAAGCCTATTAACTAAATCCAATTTTCAAAAGAGAGTTGATGATACTTATGTTGACTTAGCTAATTCCTATAGTGACATGCAATCATGCATGATACATCTAACTGCAATACTTCTTATATTGTTTAGTGTACTTATTGGTATTTAGTTTCCAAAAGAAAAATGAAGGACTTACATTAGTCTCGGCAGCTGGATTCACACTCCCATCTATTGCAAAAGCACCACCAAGAAGAACAATCTGTCCAATGTTTTTGGTGAATGTGGGGTCCAGTTGAATCGCCTGAAACATTTAAAAAGATTTTTTAAAAGGTGTTTCAAAAAACAGTTGACTCCTTATATATAAAAAGGTTGGAAATGAGACCAATGCAATATTGGTAAGGGGACCCAATGCCACCACAGTGACTTCTCCAGGATAAAGATTAGCTTGCTCCACCAAATATTCCGCAGCTGACTTTTCTATTGGCTTTGACTTTGGCTGAGGAAAGTTCTGGTTTCCAAGTCCATCCATCCCATGGGCAAAGTCGCGAACTTGAAGCTTTGTGGATTTCTTAGCACACAAACAAAAAGAAAGGGTAGAAAAGATATGATTGATCAAAACTTTCTTGTGAAGTGTGCATAAAAAAGAAATGGAAGGAGATGTATACCATATAACTGACATGAGATCCTTCTGCAACAGGGATATCTGATCTCCCAGCAACCTCCAACTATATATAAATAACAAAACATCATCATCTTTAGTTTAGTTAGTATGAAGACAATGAGAAAAAGCAACAACAGTTTGTAACAAGTGACAGAATTTTAATTACACGAAATCAGAGAATAATTCAAAGCTAGTACTTTTTCTTTTATGTAAAAGAGATGAAATGGCTTTACCAAATGCAATGCATTTCTAGTGGCAAGTGTAGTGTAAACGTTTCCAAAAATAGTCGTAAGCCCAATCACTGTGATACCTGGTGACCTTAATGCCACAAATATTGCCATGGCATCATCTGAATGAACAATTGCATATAACATGGATACAAATTCAGCATGTAGGTGTATATATAATGTATTTGAAATCTGGATGGTGTTCTTATTTTCTAGGCCAAAGTTTCGTACACTCAAGTGATTTGAAAATGGAAGGGAGAAAACCTTCAATTTAACAAGACGATGATTATGATCATAGTATATATTCCATAGACTGCTGAAAGAAGAATTTACCGATGCCAGGGTCGGTGTCTATGATTATCTTCTTTGGTTCCGCCATGGAAGTGGATGCAATTCTGGTATCAGGTAATGGAAACAACAGAAATAAAAAGGGAAACAGCTGTTTTTTAATCAATGGATAAAGGATTTGTATGATTGATTTAAAACCTCAGGAGAATCGAAAGTCGGCTGTGGCTCTGGTTCTTATTCTCCCAAAGTTGCAAACCGCTTATTGACAATGATTGTTCAATCTTCCATTAACTGGATGACCTAGATGAAGATGACTGAAGCATAAGTTGATGATCAAAGTGATATTAGCATTTCGATACATAAATCTGAGCAATGAAAATGATTTCCACGTGTTGGCTCCCTCTGTGAGACTCTGACAAATGCTGTAGACAGGGATTAACAAACACGGCTTGCATGAGTGATGCACAAACACCGTACACGTATTGTATATAAGTTATGCAACTGACAAAAATATACGATACGAAATGGATACGAAATGAAATAGAAAGTGAAATTTGAATTCGTGTTCGTGTCTAAGTATAAAAAACAATGTCTCGTCATGTTGTCACTACAAGAAATTAAGGTATTAGCGGGGACAGACATCGCCGTAAAAGAGTGTCCATGTCGCCACTAAAGGTATTAGCGACGTCCTGTCACCGGAAAAAGGTCGCCGTTGTTGCCTCACTGCAAATGCTCAATCTGTCGCTGCTAATGCTACCTATCGTCGCTAATGCTATATGTCGCTGCTAATTACTTGTCGTCACTAATACTTACGTGTCGCCGCTAAAATATTTTTTTTATTTAACATTAAAATTATAAGAAACAATATAAATGCATAAAAACTGCTATAAAACTTAATTTTGCAGAAATATTAATCCATACACAACCGGTCCAAAATCCTTAAAATAAGCATGGACTTTAGTTTTCCGGCCTCTGTAAATTTTTGCAAGACTCGAATCAATGCTCCGCAACAACTGAGCACGCACAAAATCCAAGTTAACCTTATCCAAATCAAATTTATTCTACAAATACAAAAAGTTAGTTAATTAAATACCAATCACAACTAAACTTAAAATATTATTCAAGTTACCTGTAGATGCATGACTGTTGTATTCCTTAAAGCGGGGGAAACATTGCCCCAACCAGATACACGTTGAAAGGAATGTTCATCCACATATATCTCCCAATATCATGTGAAAACCAATTAGCACACTTCCCGACAGGGGAATATGTGATCTTCCTGTCGAAATCAAAATCCACCGGCTTTTCCTTGTTTGCCAGTATCAACTTTCCTAGGTCGATGTTTTTAGATAAACCCCTTCGTTTATTTGGAAGCTCAGCTGAAAAAAATACAATTAAAAATATTAGTCACGATAATTTATAATAAATTAATAAAAATAGCTAATAAATATATCATAATAAGACTTACCATCATGTTCGTGCTGACCGTGACCAAACCCTACCAGAGGTGGTGGATCCCCGACTCCATCACCTCCGTGTCCAAGGCCCATAACATTGGCCATCATGGTAAAGAGTATCACCCAACTAAATCTCATATGTAGCCTGTAAATTACAAGATGTACAATATAGAAACACTATGAATAAAAGTTAGACAAACAACATGAATAAAAGTTAGACAAACAATATGAATAAAAGTTACACTTCAAATAAAGTTTCTATTACAAAAAACATTTGATTTTTTTTAATCA